GACACAGTTAAGGCCTTGTGTATTTCGTCAGGTGCTGGTTGGAAAGAAGCAGTTGATTAGTCTGAAATTACACACAGGCCTACAGACATGCTTGTGCTCTTTTGAGTCATCATTTGTGTGTTTACTTTGTGCCTACTGTGTATTTCCAGAGAACTGTAGTATGCAGAGAAAGGGCAACATCAACAATGATGAGCGCATAGCTAAGGCTCGTGAGGTCACAACAACCAGCCGAATAGATTTTGGTAAGTGTGTGTGTGTGTGTTTGTGTGAGTGAGTGAATGAATGAGAAAGAAAGCAAGTCAGCCAACAATCTGCAACTTGTCTCCTCACAGTGTACAAAGTCAGAGTGGAAAATTTTACAGATGATTTGTCGACTGACATTTACACAACGCGGATGGTAAAAGTCATTAGAGAAGGTGGGTGTGAATCTCTTTTTTCCTTTATGGCCCTTTTCAATTTTCCCCTATAGTGTTTCTAGACAAACAGAAAAGTCCTTTGCTATTTATACATGAGTATGTTGGGGAGTACGGCAGAAAATAAATAATGTTGCACATGTAGTTGTTTTATAACTACAGAAAGTTAAAACGCTCATTAAAAAGGGCATTTTCTGACTTTTAAAAATTTGACCTTTCTGACTTTTAATTTTCCGTAGAGTTATGTTTCTTAAAGTGACAGAATGATGCCAAACAGGCAGAAAAGTTGCTGACCATTTATGCATGACTTGATGTGCAATGTGTTTGTGAGTAATGCAGCATATGAACAGTAATGCTCTTATATAACTGTTGTTGTGACATTATTTTTTTCTTACTATATATTTTAATTACAGGAACTTATGATGTGGGTGAACTGTGCATTTTCCTCAGTCATCCGCACTGCAGAGAAACTTTGGATTTGAGAACTGGAAAAACCTACCTTATCATGGGTGCATTCAAAGATATTTACAAAGACGACCAGACTCAGTCGTAAGTTTGTTCTTTGCGTGCGTCTCGCTCATAATATTATCACTACAGCAATTTCTTTACTGTTTTCCCTGCTTTCTGTCACTTCATACATGCCGTTCTTGAGTAAACCAAGTTTGTCTCATTTGACGTGGTTCCTGATTGATATAGGGAGATGATCAAATCATCTTAAAGACACAAGAAACGTGCACTGCCAGACGCAAACTGTGAACACGTATAGTGTATATTTTCTTATGCAACATTTTTTATAAATTGTATTTGTATAGTGGTTTTCTGCATAAATGGTGCATAGAATAACCTTAGTCTTACTGTAACCAAGCATCCTGTGTTTGCCTAATTGTATAAACTTAAGGTGTAACTGCACACACAAATTCTGCTAGCTCCCTCTCTACCAGCATATTTAAAAAATGCGGCAGTAACGCGCATAAGGATAAGGAGACACCAACCAGACTGACCACCGCTCAACAACAATATATAGCTGGTGGTCAGAGCTAAGTAGCCATGAGCAGCTGCTGACTCTCCGAGTCCGCTGGAGCTTTGTCAGTCAGACGTACATTCACGGCCCCTATTTGTAAAAGGTTCTGTGAGTTAGCTGTATTGTAGCTAAACTAGTGGCAGAGTGGCCCTCCAGTGTGCTTGTTTCTGTGTGAGAGTGTCAGTATACAGCTCTCGCCCTGCTGTCTATCATGTAATCATCATGAAGGGAAAGTATGCTGTTCAGTGGTGCTGAAAAACAGAAGAGAGGTAATAAAAAATAGTGTAAACTGTAAATGATGCATCTTGAGCAGCATCCATTTGAAAATGAGTACAGTTCCACAGACTCTACTCAAGGTTAGCGACTGAGGGAGGTTGGTGCCGCCTACCTCTGATTAGAGGGCGTTAACACTCTTTTGTAATATATATGTAATGATGTACTGCAGTCCAAAAAAGTTGGCTATATATCAGCATTGGCCTTGCAAGGTTCACAATGATTTAGTAGAGGTCAAGACAAAAAGACAGTGTCAGATAAATGTGAGACTTGTAACTGCAAGGAGTCTGTTGAACATGTGCTGATATATTATAGGAAGTTCAGTGTAGAAAGAGAAAGATACACATGGTGGTAGATACGGGAAAGGAGTGGAACATTAAAGGTCTGAAAGGAGCAAACAATTCAGAGGGCTTTATTTAAATATTTAAATCTTCATCATCTGGTATCGTGACTTTAGTGGATCATAACATATCGGGTTTGGAATTAATCTGCAGTTATTCCAGTTTAAGATGAGACCAAACGTTTCTATGGAGTTCTGGAGCCATGACAAAGGCCAAAATGTGGCCTACAACAGACTAGATGAGTCTTGATTTGAGCCTTGATCACCCGTGGCCCCTACCGGCTGGTTAAAAGGGAGTGAGGTATGAAACAGAGCATTCAATAAAATAGGTTTTGCAACCACAAGAGTACTTTGAGCATACAGTCATAAATGTGCACAAACAAAATATTAGGCTGATGGGTCCTTTAGTATGTGAGATTCGCTGCGCACAGATACACAAAAGGAACACGCAACCAGACGCATTATGTGACTAGTACAAAGCAGGTCTTTGCTCCGAAGCAAAAATATACATTTGTACTAGTTATGATATTTTTGATTTTTGTAATGCAAAAAATGTGTGCCATGGATTATAACCATGGCCTATGAACCACTTGTTGGCAGCATGAAGACCCAATGTATTCTTGTCTCTGCTTTCCTCAGGTATCTGTATATGCTTGGTGAGAAAACCTGGATCGAGTACTGGCCCACAGAAGCTGAGTGTCAGAGTGAAGAACACAGATCTACTTGTGTGGGCATGGATCAGCTGGTCAAACACACACTCTCTGAATGTCTGTACTAATGAAACTGAAGACAATAAAATGCTGTTTTGAATTGCATTTCTTTGACATTACTCTCATGTACACATTTGATTACATAAAATATTGGAAGTAAAAAAACTACAGTACATATCTGTTTAAGCTGAATGTTGTTATGCAAATATGTTTGTACAATGATAACAATAACAACAGTTGCTCAGTGTTCCAGTAAAATAAATATATAATTAATATTTCATTCATTATTGCTGGGAAGTACTAAACGATTGCCAGACCGTATAATATTTCTGAGCATGTAAAAAAAAATCTCAGGGCTTCATATGTATTCACTCAAGCCCTGTAAAACATTTTGATTACATCAAGTGACTTACGTCTGGCTGCCAGGTTGAGTGTTAGAGGGATCACAGGACAACTGCATGGTATAAATGGTGCTATACATCAACAGAATACTGAACAAGAAAAAGGTGCATGCTCTAACCAATATGCTTTGAATATTAAAAGTTATATCATATATTCAAAAACCAGTGGATTAATGTGGTTTTCTGGTGCCAGCCTGCTGTAGTTTAATTATTTCCATAAAGCAGGCAACCATTCACCATTATGAAAGATGACTATGGAGTTCAACTCAGTTAAGTTTCTATGAGTTTAACTGGATGAGACAGGAGTGGGCGGATGTAAATGTGCAGGAGGAGGGAGGTGAGTGTATAAAAGGAGAGTGTGCAGAGCTGGACTCTCCAATATCAGCAGATATGGGATCAGGAAGGTTGTTCAGGACTCAGCTGGGGCTGTTGGCCTTTCTGGTCTTTTCCTCTCTGACTTCTCTGGCTGATGGATCACCATTGTAAGTTGACCTGGCTTTTCACACAATTCCTTGAAGGTATGTTCAAAGAGAAAGAGGAGGTTGAAGGAAAAAGACAGGACAGAGTAGGAGGAAGATGTGTATGTGCTGCATGCATGCATATAGAGGGTAGCTGCAACATGCAAAAAGATGTGTGTGTATTGTGCAGGAAGCACAAATATTAGATGTGAACTTGATGAAATGCTGTTACCACATAGAGAAGCATTTGCATGGCCAATGCAATTTCTATTTCCATTTCTGGTTCTAGTTTGCAACAGATTTTTTATCTAATAATTGGAAACAAACAAAAAAACAAACAAGGCTGGAAAAACTTTGATGTTTTTTGTTACAGAAATCAATGTACCTTTTAATTTTTACACAGTGATGCACGTAGACACAGCAAACAGAGTCCAGAACAATGATGAAATGTTTTATTGATCCATTACTGGACCTTAATCAAGATAATCAATGAATCACTCATTATGTATGAAGTCCGCGTTGGAACAGAAGAGAAAACATGTTGTTTAACTAAAACTTTAACACACAAACAATTCTATTTTCTTGCTGCTCTCCAGGAAGGTGATGTCTGCCCCCAATGTGTTGCGGGTAGGAACACCAGAAAATATTTTTGTGGAGTGTCAAGACTGCACTGATGATAATGACATCAGGCTCGAAATCACCGTAATGACCTATCCAACCAAATCCAAAAGGCTGGCATCCACATCTGTTATTCTTACCAGTGCAAATCAATTCCAGGACTTTGGACAAATAAAGGTAATGCAGAATTACTGAACTATGTTACCATTTTATTGGTTAAAATATATATAAAGCCTGAATTTGTCACCTAGTCTATTTTTATTAAAATTATAACTAGAAACAAAAAGATTTTTAAATTTAGCATCTATGAATGCACAATATACTCTTCTCCTGCTCCTCATAAACTCTTTGTGTCTCTACATACTGGTTTCATATCCCTGCTGTTGGCTTCAGTAAGGATCAAAACATGAACCAGTACGTGTACCTGAAAACTCAGTTCCCTGAAGTAGAACTGGAGAAACTTGTGTTAGTGTCCTTCCAGTCCGGGTACATCTACATCCAGACCGACAAGACCCTCTACACCCCCAACAGCAAAGGTGTATCCAGAGTCACTGCTTGGAAACATAAATACTTAAATGAAGTCACAGAAAAGGCACTGAAGTGAATAAAAAGAAATTAGGTCGCTACAGTAAATCTATCCTCCATAATATTGTTAACTGTTGTTGAATTGTATCTTATTTTAGACCCCTGAAGGTATCATTTTACCACTTGATCCAGTCTCCCTAACATCAGGCATACACTCTGGACATTAGAAACTCATTGAAATTGTCAGGTAAGTATTTATTCAAGTTTTATACACTTTGTTTTTGTTTGTGAATTTCCATATGTTGAATGTATGGTGAATGCACTTGTTTTACATTAACAAGATTGAAGGGCCGTACACACCAAGACCAATGATGGTGTGAGCATCCACACCACTAAATGGAAAAAATGGATAAAGTTATCAATGATCTGTTACTGCTATACGTTGTGCAGAGAAACAAACAAAAAAAACTAAATTTCTTACTAAAATATATCAGTTCAATAGGGATATTTATAGTTATTGTATAAGTATGTATGTATATGTTTGTGAAGTGGATTGCCATTTGATTACATAACAGTATATATTTCTGGATGCTTTCACATTAAACCTGCGAATAAACTTGAAACTGGTGTTTGTGTTACATTTATGATATTATTCATTTTAGACACTTTTCAGTTACATAATATCCTATATATTATATTTGACATAGAAGTCTCAAGAGCAGTGAAATACAAAAACACAATTTCTGAAGAAATTATTTAAACTGATGAAACTCTCCTGTGGTCCTACGGCCATGTATCTACAGTAACCCAGAATGGACAAACCAAACACTTTTGCACTTTTGGTTATAAAGTTTCACGACCATTGTAGTGTCTTCTTTGTGCTTAGTTGAGTCAAAGGGTTTTAGCTGGTTGCAGTCTGCCGTCTAGATTCCTCTAAATCTCATACACTGGTCCTTAAATGTAAAGTTTTGAGAAGTCTAAAATAATTTTCTCCACCAAACAAAAAAAATACAAAAGTGATAAAGTTCAAAAGTATTTACTCTCTGTCCCTTATTAAAACATCTTTACAAGTTAGTAGTATCTGTGTAAGACATTCTTATGTGTGTGTGTGTGTGTGTGTGTGTGTGTGTGTGTGTGTGTGTGTGTGTGTGTGTGTGTGTGTGTGTGTAGTATTGGACTGTGGAAGGTGGTGGCCAGGTTCCACAGCAACCCACAGCTGAGCTACTCTGCAGAGTTTGAGGTTAAAGAATATGGTGAGTCAGAGGGCCTCTTTAACTGTTAATCTTTTATCAAAACAGATACCACTTGTAATTAATGTTACCTGATTGGACACAATAGAAAGCATTTTACTTTTCAGTGCTGCCCAGTTTTGAGGTTAAGCTGACGCTTGAGAGCCCCTTCTTCTACGTGGACAGTCAAGAGTTCACCGTCAGCATCAAAGCTACGTATGTTTGAGGTTTTTGTTTTGTGGATTTAGAGATCTGTGGGGTAAGAAATCCAGGATAAGTGAGCAAGCGCGGCTTGACTTAGCCTGCTCGGCGCATCCTGGCTTAATCGGTTGCACGTTTGCCGAGCCAGGATTAAAAGGTGCGGCTATGTTAAGCCAGGTGTAGATAGTCGGGATAAGTGCGTGTTCACGGCATACTGAAATAGACCTCGCGATCGCTCACAGAATCACCGATGGGAACATGGATAAGAGTCGCGCTTCATATTTCACGGCCGCTGAAAAACAGCTGCTGATGGAGTTCTATGAAGAGGTGGAAGATAGAAGAAAAAAAGGCAATACCAATGCCATAATTAAAGAAAGAGAGAAAGCCTGGCAGACAATAGCGGACCGGCTTAATGCTTAAGTAGTCCAAAACTGTACAATGAATAAACGGTGCTCCACTGGAACTGTCATCATTAGGCTCCAATTAAAGGACTAAAGGAGTTACTTTAAGTCCACTAATCAACTGTTGTACACTTTGCTTTAAATGTGGCAAGTAGAGGTTCATGTTACTCAGAAAATGTAAAGTATGATTAAGTGCAAACAATTATCCACAATGTGTGTCATTTAATCTATTTGTATCTATTTTATCTTTCTATCCTTCATAAAGAACAAACTTGTCTGGCCATAAAAGGACCTGGCAGCAAGTTAAAGTTAAATACAAGAACATTTTGCAGGCTGGAGAGTGACTTTAAAGTAGATAACAGTGAATAAATGAGGTGAATAGATTAGGTGTCTGCTCACATGTTGAATGTCTGTATGATTGTAGCAGTTAAAAAAAGCCCATAGAACTGGCACAGGGGGCGGCCCACCAAGCCAGGATATGTACGGAAAATGGTTCCTTTATTGAGGTTCTCTGCATCCCCAAAAGAATAAAGGAAGCTCCCACTTGCAAAACATCTCACTGTAACACAGACCATCTGTGGTACAGTGAGAACATGGCTTCCTGCCGTCTGGTGCTGTGTTTTTGGACCCAGCAGCCTACATAAATATCTTAGTCCATCACCTGAGAATCGGTATCTCTCAATGAGATAGTCATCTCCAACGGCCAATGGGTCTGACCTGTCCCAGAAAACTCTTTCATGACTAAATGCTCGTCTGAGGATTAGGGCTTCCTCATCCAGTACATCCTCCAAGAAAGGGCAAGCCATTATGAAGAGGGAACAGGTGTGAATAATGTATATATATTATGGCATGCCGTTTAGGAAATGAAGCTTTGAATATATGGAATGAATTTTGAATATATGGAATGAATCTTGGATAAACTGATAAAAATGAATGAACTGAATGAAATTGAAAACCTAGTTGTATCCTTTTCATCAAAGTGATAGCCTTCTGAATTAGCTGGTTTTACAAAATGGCATCAGTTGAAATATTACAATACTTTCTTAAACTGGACAACTTTTTTGCTTTTTCTGTCAGGATTTAGCCTGAGGCCTGTTGTAGTCGGCCTGCCACCATTAAAAAGGGAGTGAACTTCTTCGTCAGGAGAACGGTATTGGGCACGGGTACTATGGGAAGGATTTTGGCCCGTACAAGCACTTGCCAATGAGTTAATAATGTCCTCATTGATCAGTATTGCTGCCACAAGGTTCCTGACTGACTCATTCTCACTTCTACAAGATGACAGCAGTGCCTTGATTGACCAGTCAAGTTTCATTGAATATATTAAAAGATTCATTCAATATATTAAAAGTTTCATTCCATATATTCAAAGATTAATTTTATATATTCAAAGATTAATCTCTTAAACGGTATGCCATAATATATATACTATATTGCCCTTGTCACAGATTTCATTGAAAACACCTTTGCAACTTCATCAGCTGTGTTTTGTAATCTCAATTACTGCAATAAACACATATTTATGCAATTTGGCAAGCAGTCTTCATTAGCATAGCAATATAACACTTGTCCTGAGTAAGAATACTACCACTTGAATCAATATAAAAAGACTGTTGCAATTACTAACAGCCAACAGATTTAAATGAAATGAGAAATTACAATATATATGTAATATTTTAATGCAGAATAATTAAAATGATGCAACATACTTAGAAAGACCATGGACATGCTGTAAAACACATTAATTCCTCACAGGATTGACGGTGTAAATACAGGTGAATCACTAGGATTAATCTTAGCCTGGCTGTTAGCCTGGTCTGGAGCAGGCTAACTGCAGAGAATAAATCACCATAGTAACTTGGCCGGGATAAGTTTAACCTGCTTTCATGCAACCGACTTGAGGCTAAATTAAGCCAGGATAACCAACATATCCCGGCTTAATCCCTTATCCTGGTTTTGTGCAATACCCCTCAGGTTTGATTGGTAGATTGTGGTTACATTTTATCTATAATCATTTTGTAACTTCTGTTTTAGCTTACTGTGAAATAAACAAACTATTGCCTTGTGGTTTTAGATATCTGTTTGGTGAAGAGGTGGATGGTACAGCCTACGGGGTATTTGGGGTTATGCATGAAGGTCAAAAAAAGAGCCTTCCCAGCTCTCTTCAAAGAGTGCAGATTAGTAAATACACATTTCCTCCATTACTGTCTAACAGCCAGTCGATTAGTCATTCCATCTTTGATTATTCTCTCTCACAAACCTCAGCCCAAAAATATAAAAGTACATTTAGTAAGTATTTTTAATTGATGTCACATCAGATCATGAGCGGTAAAGGGGAGGTCAAACTGGAGAAGGAGCACATCATACAGACCTTCCAAAACATCTATGACCTGGAGGGGAGTTCCTTATTTGTAGCAGTCGGTGTGCTCACGGAGAATGGTAAGAAAGAGACAGTGTTTGTGTATTTGTGTAATATGTCGCCTGGATACCTTAAATGGTAGGAAAATATGTTGCTCACAAAAGGCACCAACATTATGTAAAGTAAACATATTAATTGGTACAACAGATGAATTAGAGCAATTGCACTCAACTTCTAGTTAGTAATAATCAGTATTATACTTAGTACTAAGTAATTAAACTTGCATTAAATTCACCATGGGGCACCGCCCTTTGAAAAGTGAAAATGATTGTCAATGAATGAATTCAGTCTAAATTTGGAGGTGACATAAGTTATTGGCTCATAAACAGTGACTGTAATACTTCATACACACAAATGTATTTATTATAACTCATTTATAAATGAAAGGTTTATTCAACTACTAGCTACACAAACAGCTAATAACTACTGAATGAGCAGCCCTTGATGAAATCAAGACCATGGAATATTGGCCCTCATACGATGGTCTGGTTGAATACTCGATTCTGATTTGTTGCTGGGTGTCCATTAATTCCTGATGTAAGACATCTACTAAGTAGTTCCTGTGAAACTGTCTGTTTACCGTTATAAATTAATGCCCTGAAATGAATTAAATGAAAACAAAGTTTTGCTAAATGTCTCAGAAATATATCTCACCACACTGAGTGTAGTCCCTCAGTGCTTCATCCTCTGAACACCACAGGATGGCGTCTGTGACACACAAGCCCTAGACTGCCCCTCTGAACATACCGACACTTTGCATAGGCGATCTTTCAACATCCCAGCTCACTACTTCATGCTGCGGCCATCAGTGCCGTTTCTACAAATCTTGATATTGATTTGGGGGCTGCACCGCTGCTAGCATGCATTGTTGTTAAACACACTGTCAAATCATATTGTCTGTCTGAAAATGCATGTTCAATTTTTTTTTTTTTATCATTTTGTGAATAATACTGACTGTGAGTACTCTGATGTGTATGACAACAATAAAAACAAATAAGGGAAAGACATCATATCTGGATGAAGTTCATAAGGTGTGGCATTAATCAGTCAAACAAGACAAAGGGGAAGAGAAGTAAAAATGCTTACAGTTAATTATTCTTTGTGTGTGTGCATGTATATCACACAGGAAGTGAAATGGTGGAGGCGGAGTTAAGAGGTATCCGGATTGTCAAATCGCCTTACACCATCCACTTCAAGAGAACGCCCAAATACTTCAAACCAGGAATGTCCTTTGATGTTGCGGTAAAGTGTACACTTATATGTATTTAAACTGAAAGTTATGTTAAATTCTTTAAAATATCTATTAATTGTCACTTCTGAAATTCACCAATTACAACCAATCACAACCAATCACACAGGACTATATCTTGAAAAATTATATAGTTTTATATATAATTTTTTCTTTCTTCAATGCCACATGTAATTTTACTGATGAGCCATTTTTCTCCTTTCAAATCATAAAAGTAAAATTTACACACTTTGCATTACTTCAATGATTATGATTATTATTACTTTTCTAATTGTACTTTGACATTGGAAACAAAACCTCAACTGAAAACATGAAATATCGGCATTCAGATCAATTCAAACCTTCATTTAAGTCTTGAGAATTGTTGAGGTGTCCTTCATTTACGATGTTGAGATATACAGAAATGTGCAGAGTTAGAAAAAAATAAATAAAAAACACATGATTGCATCTATCATGTGTAACAGCCGTCCCATGTAGTTATGTAGATTATATTTATCAGCTGTATGTAATAGTACTCTGGACGGGGTCCTGGTTACGGTTTAAGTTTAAGTAATCTATTACCTGTACCTACAAAATAATACAACTCTTATGACCTTATTTCCCTTTTTACTCTTCAACTAAAATACCAAATAACCTGTATTCACTCAAAAAGCATTCACCCAAAATATGTACTATTTAGGATATCATACGACACAACACATGTGCTCTAAATGCAATATGACAACATTTAGTCATTTATTATAACACAAAATAATAATAGTTAAGCTAAATCATGAAAATATGTCAACACAAATAATACCCAATATTAATAAACACACAGTAGTATTCTCCCAATACCTTAAAGACTTTTCTTTTAACCCTTTTTATCTAATATCTTCAGTGCATAGCATCTTTAACATGTGAACTTTAACTTTATATTGTGGGGCCACACTCTCTCGCACACACACACACACAAACACTCACTCACGTTGCAACATAAACCAAAATGTAAACCAAAGAGTTGCAGGCCTGAGTTGTGGCTTGGGAGCGTGGAGATCTAAAAACTGTAATGGCCGCTTCACTTGTTCAAACAAGCAATCAAAATAAAAGGCACGTGCAAGTTTATCAGTACTCACAAAACCCGGGAATGGTCAGAGGGATACACGAGCAAAGGCGCGCTGCTAAAAAACTCCGCAGAGCAAAGAAGAAACAGCAGCAACAGTCCACAGCATCAGCACGCAAGCATGAGGGAAACAGTCTCCACAGTGGTCCAAAAGAGCTTTCCCAATCCTCACTTACACTCACAAATGTCCATCTCCTGAATCAGATAAATCCGCTAAGCAACAAGTCCATATGCTGTTTCATGGCAAAGCTAACAATATGAAAGCAAAGCTAATGACACTTACGCTAGGCTAATCGCATTTAGCAAGAGAGACTACAAGATCGACATGGCTAGCAACTGCAACTCCATTATTTCATTGAAGGAATTACAGTTCAGTTGTCTAAGTGTAACGGGCGTGCATTGTCTTTAACAGTTCATATCAGATTGGATGCACGTCCATTAACCCTTGTATATTCTGCGTTGTGTTCTATGTTGTGCTGAATGAAGAAAGAACCCGGACCACGACCAGCTGCTGGTTGCTCTTTTAATGAAGGCAGGATGGTAGATTTGTCTGTACAAATTAACAGAAAAACACATAAGGCTCTGTAACATGCAGTCTCCTCCACACAGCACACAGGTCTCAAGCTCCTCCTCTCAGCTAGTCTGGCGCGGACTGCACATACATACACGACTGATAAAACGTTTAGCATTAACAGCAAAAATACTTTTAAATAAAAATGTGAAAATGAATTAAATAAATTATGAAATGCTCAATGTATTTGATAACATGAATTTCTTTGACATGCTTAATGCAACCAGTGTAAACACATGTGAACACTATGCCAGACGAATTATAATGAACATAATGCACATACCTGTACAAATTAACAGAAAAACACATAAGGCTCTGTAACATGCAGTCTCCTCCACACAGCACACAGGTCTCAAGCTCCTGTTAACAGATAAACATACAGAAACCCCTGTAGACTAGCATGTGGAAACATGTCTACTTTAAAGCTTGCAAAAAGTCTGTTTACAAAGTTTGTATTCCATTGACACATTAACTGCATGTTCACAACCTAGAAACTAACATTTATACATGCATAAAACAAAGTTTGCATTGTCCAAAAACCGAAATAAATGTTCAGAAATGATGAGCAAAATAACACATTACCTCCTCTCAGCTAGTCTGGCGCGGACTGAGAGAAGCACCTGAATGACGGCAAAAGGCCTGCGACCTCTTAAAGTGACAGTACAGGTATTAACACCTTGGTCTGAATACAACATTCAAGCATGAATATAGGCAATAAAAACACATCTTAAACCTATAGAAAACAATATTTATCAGGATTTGGTGACATTTCAACCGTAAAAGTAAAGATATGATTTCAACCCGGTTACATAAGCAATGTTGAAAAATTGGCTATTAAAGAATTCGGACCACCCAGACCAAATTTAAATATCATGCAGGTGTCAACAAAAGTGGGGAAAACGTACAAATCGCGGATTTTCCCGGAGCTGGTACGAGCGGAAAACATGGCCAGCAGGGTGTGAAGTGGCTAACGCTCTGTTCTGCTACCCCTGAGTCCTAATTCACCCTGATGGCGCCAAGACGGACACCGCCTGGACAAAGACAGGTGTCACTGATACGCACCATCTTTCGGAAAAGGTGAAAAAACATGAGGCATAAAAGATGCATATGGACAGAACTTCACCAGCAGTGTTCAGGCCATCAGGTAAGATAATACAATATAGTAATTATAATAATAATTATGCACATGTTCATTACTAAATGTCTGCATGTTGTGATGGCAATAATGTATAGAACCTCAAAAGTAATGAACCAATTTAATCATCTGCATTTGTGTGCATAAGTAAGTTAAGCACATCCTGAAATAGTGATATTTTTTTTGTTTCCACAAAGTTATGCAAAACAGACAGTTTGTATTACTTACTAGTATTACTGTTTTTTTTTAAAGACAGGAATTGTTGATAATGACAATGACATACTGTCTCATTCATATTCTAACACTTTTGATCTGTCTCCCTTCAGGGACCAAAGCTCCTCTCAACAGCAGCAGCAAGAAGCACCAGATACCACAAGATCAAGGAGAGCCTTAGGAGAACAAGAGAAGCAGAGGCTGTCAAAAGAGGTATCTGCATTCACTACTGACCAATGATGTAGGCATACTCAAGTGTTGGAACCAAGTGATATAAAATCCCAACCTCTGTTTTTACAGAGTTAGATTCAGTAATGGATGGTAGTAATTGTTTTTACTCACCCATTATACTCACAAGGATATAGTATAAGTCTGCATGATTAACAAAATGCATACTTTGGAACAGGCAGACAGACAGGCATAGATGCATAGATGCATAGATGCATAGATAGATAGATAGATAGATGTTAATAGTGTTATTGTTAATAACAGTATATAATAATAATAATAATAATATGAAGGCTATATATAATATGTACATATGTACACAAGATATGATATATAGTATATGTATAATAGATACTTGACTATACAAGAAATATATACATACACTATTATATATTGTATTATTATTAGTATTATTATTACTGTATATTGTATAAATATGATATATAATATCAGCATGGTTTATATGAACACATATCACATATGATATGAAGTATATGTTCCACAGGTAGATTTAGTCCAGTTAACAAATAGTTACTTAAGTTTCCAGACAGATTTGCCATTTTCTTTGTACTACTTTTCTGTTTTTCATTAGGTTAGGGAGTTAGGTTTAGTAACTATTTTATTTATATTGCATAGGGATTAGTAAGAATTTTTGTTTAAGGAAGTAAGCCCTGTTTTGTTTGTTGTTTAGTTTTGTTGCACTTTGTTTCACCTGTTTGTAAATAAATCACATCACTTCATTGTTAACACTGTGTTAGTTGTTCGTTTGGGAATCGGGGTAGGATTATTGATTCATTTTCATCACACATTTATGTGGCGCTCCTTCCCACTAGACAGGGGCGTAACAAAAGGGACACAGTTTTACCTTAACCAAAAAAAATGTGTCTGTAACGGGTCGGGTTAGAACCCAAATGCAGGCAGGTAGTCATAATGACCTTTATTTTCAGCTTGTGAAACAAACAGAGCAGGCAGAGTCTTCAGAGTCTTTTGCAGGAATTGAAGAGCTGGCAGGTTAGTGTGTGCACACGAGGGTATGTGTGGCAATACGCTCAGAGTCTCTGAAGCACGGAAACTCACAGGAGAGGAGATGGTCGAACTAATGCTGTGTAGTCGTTGTGGGGAAACACCAAACAGCCCAGGAGAGAGGCAGACGGAAACCAGGAATGGAGAAACCAAGCTTGTGGTCAGGGACAGAATTCGGAACAATGCTGGAAGGTCTTGCATGAACACAAAGGACAATCTGGCATTGAATGAGGAGTAGGAGTGGTATATATCCTGGCTTGATTGGTGATCAGGAGCAGCTTGTGTGCACAGGTGAGCAGAGTGGCTGATGAGGAGGAGTGGCTGACTGGAGCAGGGGCAGGTTAGTGGAAAAATACTAAGATGGCTGAGTTGAACAGGTGATGAGGAAGGCAGACTGTGACAGTGTCTCTGTAAATGAAAGAATGGTGTACTGTATTAAGGCTCCTGACCGTCACTTTTCATTGTATTCAGTTCCACGTCCTGGGCACTGCCGATGTGCCCTTGAGCAAGACACCTAACCCCCTAACTGCTCCTGGAGTGCCGCTACGTGGCAGCCCATCACTCCACCATCTTTCCACATTTGCATGTCTATAAGCCCTGTGTGTGATTGTATTTGGCCTATGTGTTACACACACATTGAGTGAAAAAACAATTTCCCATTGGGGATTAATAAAGTTGATTTTCTTCTTCTTTTTAATTGTAGGCAAAGACCGATGTTAACGGTATTACATCTGAAAGGCAAGCATCAGCCAAGATGACAGCTCTCCCATATAGCA